GCCAGGCAGGATAGGCTAACCCCAGGAAGGAAGGAAACTCAACTCCATCCCTTCCCAACCAGGTGAATAATGCAGGAGCACCCTCCCCCAGGGGAGGGGCCTCTTTCTGAATGTGCAGACTGAAGAGGAAAGAAGCCCCAGCAGGTGGAGAAAAGCCACCTAATCCAGACTGGAAGCCCAAACCACCCAACCTTCCCTGCCTCACACCCTCATAGCCACAAAGGAAGGTCTAGAGTGAGACCTGTGTCCCTGCCAGGACTCAATCTGCTTTCTCAGCTTCATCTGCCTCTGAGTTGGTGGCTAAAACGCAGCACAACCTTGCCAGCAATACCACAGAAAGCTCTGCTCCCACCAGATCCTTCACCTTCTGAAGGAGGAAGAGGGCCCTTCAAGGTGGAGTAGGAGCACCACCACATACTATTCCCTTAATTCACAGGCACCGTTGATATCTGCACAACAACCCCTCAAGCACAACAAAAGATGAACACATCAAAAAACTCCTAGTTCACACGTATGCCTTGTGAGTGCTGTGTTCTGGGGGCAGCAAGAGGGAAAGGCAATGAGAAGAGCCTGTCAGGTTAGATTTCTGGGCCTTACAGCCTGCCCATCTTAGGTGTCGTCTAACACATCTTTCCAATGTGATTAAACACAAACTCCTTGTAAATTCTTCTCAATTCCAGAACCACCAACGCTCAGGGGAAAAAGGGCACCCAGAAAGATTCCCTTTTGGTAACACTGAGATGCTTCTTACAATCAGAATCCACACTACATAGTTTTACTCTCATTACTGCTTTGAAAACACACTGGTGGAGATTTCACATAACAAATGAGGAAACTGAGGCCCAGGGAGATCATGACTTGTTCAAGAATTAACAGCTAGGAAATGATGAAACCTGCACCAGGCCATATTCCTTAATGAGCGCCAGGCACCAGTCCTCTCAGAATTTTCTCTTCAGAGGCCAAAACTAAATTTAAGACTGGAATTGGGAGAGGAGAGAGTTGGGGACAGACCACCACTGTGGAGTATTAGGGCAAACACAAAGGCACAATACCCAGCACAAGGTACAGTTCTGTGAGCCCCAAGAGCAGTTCCTGCTGAAGTTCAGAAACAGACAAAGAAATTCCCTGTACACCTAGGTAGCTGAAGGGCCCTGAAGCTCAGAGATGTTAGGAGGATAACCCACAAAGAAAAGAAGCATGCGCAGAGCTTCCCCTAGGGGAAGAACTCTCCCCCACACTGATGCTGGACAGCTAAGAACAGAAAGGAAGCTTCTTCCTTTGCTAAAATGCTGTGCTGTAGGAGGCTGTGGGACCTTGTGGGAGCAGGTCCAACAATCCAGAAGTGCCCAGGTCTCAGGCCCTGGTGATCCTGCACCAGCAGGGACACCCCAGGAGAACGGAAGTAGTCCATTTTCAACAGCCTCCAACACCCTCTAAAGCAGCTCCACTTGGCAGTCCAAGAGAGTGAAACAGCTCTGCATAAAACCTTACAACATAGTGTTTATAGTACTGAGAATTAACCCTGCCACTGAACTACACCCCCAACCAACAACCTCAAGAACTTCAAACACTTTGTTTTCTTTTAAGTTAATGTCAAGTATAACACTACCCCAGTGTTACAAGGACTTGGCAGAATATTTGGAAAGCGTATTTCCCAGCCCTTCCCTAACCCTGATACCATGTCTATGTGAAGACATGCCTTTCTACTTCCTTTCTAAGAATGCGACTTCACAATGATAAACACCACTTATTAAGTGCTTAACATATAACCAGCCACATGCTGTGCACTTTACACATTACCCCATTTAAACTTAGCGCTCCTGACCACCTGGAACCCTGGAAAGTTTTTAAGCTTTTGAGCTTCAGTCTCCTTTCCACTATAAAAGAAGTAATTATTTTATCCTCGGAAGGCTGTTACAAGGATTCAGTTAGATAAACTATGCAAATTGCCTGACACGTGGTAAGCTCTCAGAGTCTAATTCCAACTACCAACATCATTCTCATGAACCCTCTCAAATCTCAACGGCAAAATAGTGATGTCAGTGTACAGATTAAAAAAAAAAAAAAAACCCAAAGAGCAAAAGTATTCAAATCAAATAGATACCAAACAACGAAGAAGGTATTCGGACTCATAAGCAGTACACCACCTAGACAGGACCAGAGTAGGCAGGGCACTCCCTAGGCACCTCTTCGAGCACTGTTTTCACTCCCGCATCAACTCCAGCTTGGGTTCCACGGAGAACTGAGTCACATTCCGTCCTCCAAACTCCAGCTAGGAACACAGCTCAGGCCTGAAGTCGCCAACCTCCCCTACGCCTCGGTCCCTTCACTCACACCAAACCTGGACACATGAGAAACCTGAGGACTACCCAAGGGCTCTGGGCCTTCTTGGAGTCCCTAACTCGAGCTGCGCCAGCATGGCCCGAGCTCGGTGCTGCCAGCCTCTGTGAGGGGCACTTCCCCACGAGCGCCCGCAGGGGCAGCGCCTCGTCGCGCTGCCCAGGGCCTCAGTTCTCTCGTCCCTCCACAGATCATTTACAAGCCTGAGGCTAGGCGTCCGGGTTTGGGCTCGGACAGGCGGGGGGTGTCTCGACTGAGGATAAGGGACACAAACGCTCCACAGATCGTGAACGTCGGGCCCGCAGAAAGGCCCCGGACGCGCCGGGTGCACGTGCGAGGCACAAAGAGAGCAGATGCTTCCCGCTTCCGCGAGAAAACAGGTGTCCCACACGTTTTCCGAGGCCCCAGCGCCCCGATACGGAGTTCCCAAGAAGCCGGGAAGGGACCGGCACGAGAAATGCCGCGGCCTGCAGAGGGGGCCGTCCACGTGAAGGAGGGAAGGAGGCCCCCCCCAGTCCCCGCCACCGCCATTTTGGAAACAAAGGGGGCGTGGAGTCACGGCCGAGAGCTTGGCCGGAAGCGGAAGTCCTTAGCAGCGGGTGAAAAAGATGGGATTACAGGATTTAAAATCGTCTCCTACCCAAAGGGAAAAAGCGAACTTTTGCGTCTAAGACCTTGGCGCGCTGGCACCGCTTCCCCCGCGAAACCTCCGCCAGGACCACGTGGGACCAGGACGGCGCGGCGCGCATGCGCCACAAGCCGCGCCCGCCGCCCCTTCCCTTGCCGCGCGCGACGGAACACGGCGGTCACGTGAACGAGGCGCGCGCCGAAAGCGGGGGGGGGGCCCACGGCGCGGCCCTGAGGAGGGGGCCGCGAGGGGAAAATGGCGGGGGTCAAGGAGCGAAGCCTGAGACGGTCCCGCCACCGCCCTGCGAACCCGGCGCCCTCACCTTGTTTATTCTCGTTGAGCTGCCGCTCGAACTCGTCGAAGTCCGACATGCTGAGGCGGCCGCGTAGGGCCCTGTGCAGCTCTCGCCTCGCCTTGCCGCCCGCCCGCTCTGGCCGCTTCGGCTACTTCCGCCGCTGGCTTCGGCTACTTCCGGCGCCGCCGGCGCTTCGTCGCCTACCTAATCAAGCCCCCAGCGCCCCGCCCCGCCCTGGCTCCGCCCCCTCTCCCTGCCCGCCACCCCCCCGCCGCAAGCGGCCCCTCTCCACCGAGCCTGGCTCCGAAACGCGTCGGCTATTTCCGGACTGCAGATCAAAGGATAGGCTGGCAGCGGCTTCGGCCACTTCCGAAAACACCCGAAGCGACAGTTCTCCCGCTTCCTAGGTTTCGGTAACTTTTCGGAGATTAGGGTCTCAACATTCGGAGGTTTCCGTGGGTCTCGGTTTCCTCAGCGCCCAGCCCCCTCTAAGAATTCGGCTTCTTCCAACAATTCAAACCGTCTCAGTCTTTGGCTTTGTCCAAAGATTCACCCCGATCTTTTTCGCCGACTCTGTCCAAGCCGTCGGTCACTTCCGACAATCCTAACCGTCCCAGACTTCGGCCCTTTTCGAAGGTTTCCGGCGCTCGCCCACGGGCCCCTACAGAGATTAAACTGGATTTCAAGCTTCGGCTCTTTCCGGAGGTTCTACTCGCTCGCTCCACCCCTTCCGGAGAACTTCGGCTCCTTCCGACCGCTTCGGGAAGGTCTCACTCTCGGGAAACACCTTCGGCTTTTTCCGTCGTCACTTCGGCTCCTTCCGGCGTCGAGAATCGAAAAGGGGAAGGAGGACGGAGACAAGTAGGGTCTGGGAAGGGATGCAGAAAAGGGGGCGGGGTCCCGGCTCTCGGCACCTGGCTCTCCCTGTGGGGAGAGCAGAAGAAAAGAAAGCTCAACCTCAGGGGGGCTTTGAGTAGGAGCGCGAGACAAAAGCAGCCAGCCAGGTGAAAGGAGCGCACGGCCGCTGCAGAGGTTGCCAGCGCGCCTTTCTGCGCCTGCGCACGATGGCAGAGGCGGGGGGGGGGCGAGACAGGCGTCTGCGCCTGCGTAGAAATCCGTCCGAGGTGAGATTTCTGGCTGCTCCGAAAGCGAGACGGGTTCCAAGGTCCACAGTGCGCATGCGCGAAGTTTTTACCCTCCCACTCCCAGAATAAAAGTGCTGAATTCCCGACCGTTAAGCTAGACATCCCTCTCCTCGATGCCTTAGCTAGCGCGTGAGCACCTCTCCGCGGAAGCGCGGGAGACAGTGGGAATGCCACTTCCGGGAGAAGGACCAATTCGCATGCTGCCCCCTGGCGGACTGGCAGCAGTATAAACCCACACATCCCGGTCCCCCAGGTGGCCGCTCCCGCCGCACCTCTGCCCAGGTAGCCCAGGGGTCCGTGTCACGCCTATTTTCTGGAGCCTCATCCTTCGAGTTTCTTGAGCAACAGCTCCTGCCCTCCACTCCTACGTCTCCGGGGCTAATTACACCCTGTCCTCCCCAACCTCCCGGCTCCGCCTGGCCGTCCCCGTCTCCGTGGCAACGGTCGCCCCCCTCCTAAGAAGAGCTGGGCCCAGTTTATTCCAAATTTTTTACGCCTCTTTAATTTAAATTCTCTGAATAACTCTGACTCCGTGGAGTGCGGTGGCAGCCCTGGGGGAGCGGGCCGCCGCAGGTGGGGTGGGGTGGGGCGGGGCGGGGCGGCGGGAGGGCCGCGCCAGCCGGGCATCACCGCTTGAAGCGGTAAGTAATGGGCAGCAACAGCTTGCTCTTCTTGAGGGCCTGAACCTTCTTGAGCGTCTCGTCGTCCAGTGCCAGGAAGCAGCGGCGCGAGTACTCAAGCAGGCGCTCCTTGGACGGGTCGAACTCGCCCACCTCGGCCAGCTTCTCCGGGGCCACGATGAGCAGCTCTGCGATGGGCGTGGTCAGCGCCACTGTGTTACGGTCCACGCGGTGGTGCTCGAAGGCCCGCGACATGCTCTTTAGCTTCTGGAAGGTACCCAGGATCTTCTTATAGCGGCAGAGAACCCCATCAGCGTCCTTCACTGCGAAGCCAAGGAGGGCAGACAAACGGACAGGGGCAGGGAGAAATATAGGGAAAGCGGAATAGGAAACAGGAGGGCAGACATGGGAAGGGGTGAGGGACACACAGGAAAGGAAATGGAGGCAGGGAAGAGAAGATCAAGAAGGCAGAGCCGGTGAGGGCAATGGAGAAAGACGAGGGAGCACAGACGGAAAGCCGGAGGAAGAGAGCGCACGGGAGAAGATTGGGCCAGGGGGAAGTTGGAGAGGGCAGGCCAGAGACAGAAGCAGAGAGGGCTGTCAGCCACGCGTTTCCAGACCCGCCCACACTCCTCCCACTTAAGTGAATCCGCTTTTGAGCACCCTATGAGAAAGGAGCTCCTCTTTCTGAGGAAGACACCAAGGTCATGAAGTTGGGGAGAAGGCTGCGGGATGCACCCAGGTCTGGTCTTTTTACACACGGAGAGGCTAGCTAGGTCGGGGCTCTGCGGAAGTCACAGCGCAAGTCTGGGGCCCAGACCTCTAGGACACCTGCATCCTGCTCACCCCGCTGTCTCTCCCGAGCCTTGGGCTTCCCGAAGCGTCTCCGGCCTGCATTTCCCTTCTGGTTCCGCCTCTTCCTCTCGCCGGCACTGCCTTCTTCAGACACCCCGCTGAGTGAGGAGGCTGCTGATTCAGGGTCTGAGGCCTCACCACCAGCCCTGCTGTCCCCCTCAACCCTCCGGGGCCCAGGCTTCACCCGGCAGTGGTCCTCTGGGGAGACAGAGACACATGAACTGGGACTGCAGACCTCACATCACTGGTCCCAGGGGAAAGAGAAAGGGCCTGAGCACCTGGAGATCATATCCCACAGTGAGAGACTGGACCCCCCAACCAGGGTGCCCCCACCAAGACAGACAGACAAGGAGTGCATTGCACATGGTGGTGACAATGCTGAGTAGAGTAGGCCAGCTGGAACTTAAGAAGAGGTGGGCATGGATGGACCCCTTTCCCAAGCTCCTAAAGTTGGAGACCTGGATGAGGGCTGTTCCAGAGGTCTGGGGACCTGGACTTCAGGCAGATCTTAACCATGTGGGGTTCTCATGAGGAGAACAGGCTTTCCAGGGACCCAGAGGAACCTCCAGAGTGTTAAGTATTGAAACTCAGAAGCCAGATAAGGCCTTGGTCCTGCCTGGTGGGTGGTGTGAGACCCCTAAAAACCAAGTTTCTGGCTAAGGATACCCAGACAGCAGCCGAGACCCAGAGAGTCCTGTCATCCAAGGCAGTCACCCAGGATGAAACCCTCAGTGTAGAGAGACAGGAAAGTACAGATCCATAATCCTATGGTCACTAGTAACAGACCTCAAACACCACAGGACCCTTGCCCAGGCTTTGGAGGCAGTTACCAGCTAGGAAGTTTGCAAGGAACCCAGTTGAGGTTGGGAGGTGCACAGTGTTGAGTTCTCCAAGATGGGCTCAAGATCTGGCAAAGGGAAGCCCTGACTCTCTAGGGAAGGGGCTGGAATAGTGGTCAGAACATTGCCAACAGGGCAATCACAAACTGGCCTTGGGAGGCTGCTGCTGGCCATGAATTACAGCAGAGTTAATCCCCAGGTTAGAGGCTGACTCCACTTGCAGAGAGTTGAAGCTCTTTGAAGAGGAAGGAGCATTAGCCAAGATAGGGGACAGGGTAGGTAGGAAGACAAGTCACTTTGGGGCACAGAAGGCTGGAGGCCTGGATGCTTGAAAAGACAGCTGGGATGCAGGGCAAGATCCCCTGAAGAACCCAAAGAACTGCAGTGGTCCTCTAGGGAAAAGGAAGAGGAACCTGGACTCAGGTTCCAGATTACCCTAGGACACAGGGGCTGGGGGCTGATGGGGTGTGGGGCAGTCCACTGGAAAGGAAGAGATCCTAGGGGATGGGAGGTCCTGGATTTCAAGCAAGATGGAAGCTGAGCAGTAAATTAGCAGACAGGACCGAGATGCCAGGACCCCACCAAGCCAACCATACAGTGGGGCCTCAGCCTGTGGGTGGGACGGATTGGGGGCAACTGTGTCAGTGCCCCCCACCTGTGTCCATCCGGGCAGAGGAGATGAACTTGTCCAGCTGACACCGCAAGAAATCCCTCTCTTCTTCCAGGTCCTCAATGCGCTTCTGCAGCCAGGAGTTCCTCTCCAAGGCCATGTGCAGCTGGGCCTTGACGCCATTCATCAGGGCCAGTGTGGGGGATGCAGCCTCTGGAGGCTCTAGGGACAGCAGGGAGGGAAAAGGGTCCCCAGTCACACACCACTACAGGGCAGCACCCCAGCTAACCAAACCTCCAAGCCCTTAGCTCACCGTCGAAGTTCCCCCGGGAGGGGCTGAGGCTGTAAAAGATCTGTGAGTCTAGGCGCTGTGCCTCATCAAAGGGGATGGAGATCTCCAAAGACTCCTCGTCCTTCTTCACTGTAGAGGAGAGGCCCGTGGTGGTCCCCTAGGGATGACTCAGGGCCTCTCACCACCCCCAACCACAGCAGCCCGGGAAGGAGGGACAGGGATGATGGGCCAAGTTGGGGAAGGGAGGCTCCTCACTTGTCCACCTACGGATGTTTCGGTCATTCATAACGAAGCTTCCTGCAGACCCAGCAGCTGAGCGCCTCAGGGGCACTGGACAGAAACAGCAGCCACAAGTGGGGTCAGTCCTGGCTTCACTCCTCGGAAATGAGAAAGGACCCGGACTCCCAGGTCTGAGGGAGGAAGGAACCTATACTCCAGACTCCTCTTGAATGAAGGTGCTGAGGACCCAGACACGTAGGTTCTGGGGAGAAGTTAGCTGGAGCCGTGGACCCCTGTTACATAGGGAGAATTGCTGGGTTCCCTCTGGGATCCACACAGCAGGGTCACACTGGCCTGAATGTGAAGGACTCCCACCACGGACCATTTTCCGCTCCAAAAAAGCCTTAGGTACAGTGAAGGGAGACCACCCCAACTTCCAAGCATGGGGTGGCAGTCCAGCCCACACCGCTGCCTCCTCCCTCAGGCACCCCACGCCCCTCCCCCGCACTCGCGTGGGCAAGCAGGGCCTTTTCCCCGTGGCGGGGGACACGTGCACAGTGTGGGAGAAGGTCACGCGTGGGGATGCGCTCCCCCCCCGCCCCCGCCCTTTGTCCCGCGAGTGGGAGGGGACAGTCATAGAAAAGGGTCCCAGCAGGGCGCGCTCAGGCCAGGGGTGCGAATTCGGCCACCATACCCCACCAATGGCTTCCCGGGGTCCGAGGAGCCGGGGGTGGGGGGCTCCCCGCGCTCACCCACCCGCGCGCGGAATCCGGCCCAGGGACCGACGGTGGAAGCGGCGACCCTGCCTGGCGCCGGGGAACGTCTGCAAAGTGTCACAGGGAGCGGAGAGAAGCGCCCACCCGCGAGCACGCAGGGGATTGCGGGGGGTCGTCTCGGAACTGGGCAGCGTAGCCGGCAGGGACGCGGGGACTTGCCCCGTCCAGCCTGCCTGGCGCGCCTCCTCTAGAAGTCCCAGCGCCCAGGTGAGGCCCGCCGTTTGCGCGGAGGCTAAGGCCGCACTTGCGCGATGGCCCCTTGAAGTACTCCCCGCTCCGCCTTCCCCCATAGAACAGGCAGGGAACGTCAAGAAATTCCCATCCTGAAGAGCTGGCGCAGCTCCGGGGGTCCCCCAGTGTCTAGTCGACTGGGGAAGTCGCAGGGAGAAGGGAGAAGCAAGCCAGGAAAACTGAAGAGAGGAGAATCCGCTCTTAGCGATTCTCCAGGAACTGGCTGGTATGATCCCATCTCTCTCAGCCAGAACCCAAGGTTTCCAGGGATGTCGGGCCAGGATGGCAAGTGGAGTGAGAGTTACCCCTCACCTGGAAATGAGGTCCAAAAACAGTCACCACCAACCCCATAAAGGTGACCAGGAGCTTGCTGTGGAACAGTTGGAGTCCAGTCCCCAGCCTCCATGTACTCACCTGTTAAGTGGGGAGATTACAATCCCAACTAGGTTCCTTGTGAGAATGCTGAGATGACACACAAAAACTCAGCCTAATACCTGGCCACACACAGGGCTCAAGATCTCAGCGCTGTTGGTTTTATCTAAGGTCAGACAGAGGGGTGTGAACAGTCCCTGGGATGTTCTTTCCCACTCTGGGGAGTGCATACGGGACATTAGTTTTTCTGCCCCAAGAGGTCGGAACAGGAAAGTAAGCCCAGCACAGTGCCTGGCACAAAATAGGCAAGGAAGATGCGCTAAGAAGGCAGATATTTATTAAGCTCAAAGCTCAATTCCACCTCCTCTCCTCCCATTCACCAGCAGTATCTGTGCTCTGGGACCATGAAGCCCTTAAGAGAGCAAGGTTTCAACCCTTCGAAGAGAGTCTGAATGTCTGCTCCAAGCAAGAGAACTGCAACCATCCCCCTCCTGCTTCACTTACAGATAAATTGCAGCCTGGATCAGAAGGTCCAGGGGGAGCCATCTGCCCTAGATCAGTGTTTTCCAAACTGCAGGTTCATGGGCAGAGAATTTAATATAGTAGGGTGGACTCTACATTTAAAATAAAAATAGTAAAAAAAGAAAAGAAAAAAAAATCAAGGGGCCCTGCACATACTAAAGATGGCTATTGTTGAAGAAACTCGTTTTACATACATTTTGTGTATCTGTATATTGGGCTTCATATAAAACATGTATGTTACAGTGGGTTATGTTTAAAGAAAGTTTTAAAACACTCTTCCAGATGACACAAGTCTTCAGGAGCTGAGATGAGCCTGACCCTAGGGCAGGCCAACAGTCCTATTCCCTAACCAGGACAGCCAAGGCCCACAGGAGGCAGGTTCTACTAGAACAAAGAAGGTCCAAGATGCAGTCTCCAAGAACAAGTGCTCAGAATGGGAAGCTGTTTATTGGGTGTCCAGCCTCAAGTCCTGGTTGGGAAAAGAAGGCAGGTCTGGACCCTGCCCAGTGTCAGCATAGTGGCCTCAGGAAGACAGTGAGGCCTCCCAAGGGCTGCTTTCTTGAAGGGGCAAGTTTTCAGGCACAACATTTTCTCCCTTGGCCCCTCCAGTCAGGGCTCTATCATGGACCACCCCAGGTCTTCAGAGCCAAAGGACCCCATTCTGTGTGAGGGCTCACTTGTGCCCATCACAGCTCTAAAGCACCGAGCTCGCAGCAATGGCTTAGGGATTCCTCCTCCAGGAAGGGAATCACTTCCAGAGGAGGCCAGTTTCATCTGTGTCCAGGGCCCTGAGAGCAGGCCTGCACCTCCACAAGTGTCTCAGGGCTTCAGTAGTCCTACGACCCTGGGATGCATGATACCAGATCATGGATGCTTCCACCGGGCATGCTTCTGCAGCGTGTTCTGCTCCATAAAGCGGCGCGGGCAGTGTGGGCACTGAAACGGGCGCTCGCCGGAGTGCACGCGGCTGTGCTGGGCTAGCTCCCCCGCATCCCGGAAGCGGCGAGGGCAGAGCGGGCAGCCGTGGGGTCGCCCACCACCGGCTCTGTGAATGGAGTGGTGCCGTGCCAGGTGGCTGGCCCGCTTGAATGCCTTCCCGCAGGTGTCACACTCGAATGGCTTCACCTCTGAGTGGGTGATGCTGTGTCGCTGAAGGTAAGACATGTACTCGAAGACCCTGGAGCACACAGGACAGCTGTAGCACTTTTTCTGCGCCGAAGCCCCATCAGCCCCAGGCTCCCTCTGCGACTCCTCGTCCACCAGCACTGTGTAGGGGACACCCTGGGTGTCAATGAGAAGGTAGTGGTTGGGCCTTGGAGGGGACGAAGTCTGGGGAGATCCAGTGGAGGAGGAAGGTCCAGGTTCAGGGGACCTGCCTGTCCGAGGGGGAGGGGCCTCCATGGCCTCAACAGAGGGAAGCGCCAGGGGCTGGGGGCAAGGGGACGGCAGCACCAGCATCCGGAGGGGTGGCTGAGGCCTGGTGGATGGGAGAGAGGATGAGAAGTTTGCACAGCACAGAGGAGCACGGAACCATGGGTTCAGTTCTTTCCCCTCTATGTGCCCTACCAGGACCTCTGCATTTTGCTGCCCCTCAGTCTCTCTACCCAGTACTGTACTCTGTGACCCTCTGCAAGGCGGGCGAGGTCTCCTGTCCTCTGGTCTCCACTGCCCACCGTACTCATAGGCGCTCTCTCTTTGATGCACAACCGGGACCTTGCTCCCCTTTCCCCCCTCTGCCCTTCTCAGGTAACTGCCCCTCTATGGCTCCGGCCTCTCCCAGGCTACGGCCCGACCCGGGTCTAGGTGAGGGTCCATCCTGTACCTCCAGGCTCCCTCTAGTTCGCGCCTCTCCACCCCACACCTCTTCCTAGGCCCTGGAGCTCTCCACCGGCCCGCCCCGGTCCACGGTCCTCGCCTGCCGCCTGCAGAGCCTTTTGGCGCCACCAGCCGGATTGGGACGCCGCGGGCCGGGCCTCCCAGCCCAGCACAGGTGCCGGGCACGGCCCCGCCCCCGCTCGGCTCCCTCCCGCCCCGCCCCGTACCCGGTGCAGCAGCCTCTAATGTCCGGGCGGCTCCAGACGACCCCGAGCTGCCTTCGCAGCTTCAGGCGGCGGCGGGACGGGGACCTCTGGATATCCCCAGGAGCTGGCGGCACTGGGTGAGGGGAACGAGGGTCGGGGGAAAAAGATGAGGGTCCAGGGGAGGACGGTGGAGGCGGGGCACCTGAGAGCTAGGGAATGGGCGCCGGCTGGAAACACACACCGAGAAGAAGGTTCCTGGGTGCCCAAGGTCCGGTCTTAACCCCCTGCCCTGTCCCAGTACACACGCAAGTAGGAGCCTGAAAGTGGAGTGAGGAATGTTTATTGAGCAACGAATTGGGGAGGGGGGGTCATGGGCAGAAGGGGGAGGTACTGAGACGAATCAGACCGTGCCGGTGCTCTTTTCTCTGCCTTCTATGCAGACAACAACCATTCACCACTTGAGAGAGCCGGAAAAACAAGGCTCAGAGAGATCGCGTCGTTTGCAAAGGCTCACAAAGCACAGCCAGACAGGAGCCCAACTCCTACTGGCTCCCAGGCCCAGGGAGGGGCAACAACTTTGGTCTACATCACACAGCTAGGGGGGAGGGGGAGGAAGGAATGCTGTTTTTTCCTTTGGGTACACGGGGAAACCGAGGCACAGGGTAAGGCAGTAACCTCGGCAGAACCGGGGAGTGTATGTGGGAGTGGCGCTGTGTGGGTCAGACGTGGTGGCCCAGAGAGGGCAGGGCGGCGCAGGTTCAGGCTCAGTGCAGGCGCACGTGCTGCGCCAGCTCCGCGGCGTCCTGGAAGCGGCGCGGGCAGAGCGGGCAGGCGTGCGGAGTGCCCGCGCGGGCGCGGTGCGTGGCCCGGTGCCGCGACAGGTGGCTGGAGCGCTTGAAGGCCTTGCCGCAGGCGCCGCAGGTAAAGGGCTTGAGGTCCGAGTGCGACACACGGTGGCTTTGCAGCCGAAGCGGGCTGGCAAAGACACGGGCGCACTCCGGGCAGCTGTAGCCCTTACGGGGGCCGGGCTCTCCCGGGGGCGCCTCGCGCTGGGGCGGTCCCCGGGGCTCCTCCTCCAGCTGCACCGTGTACATGTAGGGGACCCCGTTGGCGTCGATGAGCAGGTGGCGGCCCAGCCGCGGGGGCCTGGGCCCCGCCGCCGAGGAAGGCGTGGATGAGGGGCCTTCCGCCTTGGGGAATGGGGGAGCCTTGGGGGGCGGTGGGTCCATGACCTCCGGAGAGGAGGACCGAGCGTGGGGTGGCCGCGGCGGCAGCAGCAGCATCTGGAGCGGCAGCTGGGAGCGGCGGAGGGGAGAGAAGTTAAGATCGCCTCTTCCTTTCAGGAAAAGCTGCCTAAAAGGGAAGGCGTCCCCATTCTCGCGGCCTGTCACCCTTTCCGCGCCACTGACCTACCGCTCTATAAAATAAGAACGCACTCCAGCCCAGATCTCCAGCCTCCCTCCATCTGCTCCGGGCCACTCCAACCGGGCTTACCAAGTCCTGCTCCACCCTGCCCTTCCTCCTGGCTCTCCCTCTGCAGGCATCGCCCTCCCGTTCCCCACGTGGGAACCAATGTCCGAGCAGGGGTGTCTCCTACCTCACCCCCCTAGCCCTGTGGCCTCCAGGACGTCCCCACCTGTCCATTCCTGTCCCCACCGCTCAGCTGCAGCTGAGCCCGGGCTGCGTCTTTCCCTCAGGGTCCCCACCTACTAGATGCCCTCGGGGCCTCCCCATCTCGGCCACCCCGCGCCTCCCCGGGTACTTCCCCAGAGTCCTACTAACCCAATTCCCCACTTTCACTCAAGGCTCCTCTGCTGTCCCCACGAGTCGCACCTCAAGGCCTCACCCTGCTCTCTCCACTTGGCCTCTCTTCATCGACAGCCCCTAGGACGCCTCACCCGCTTCTTTTGTACATCCAGCCCCCCACCTTGCTACCTGCTCCGTTCCCCCGAGGGTGCCCCCGCCGCTATCGATGACACCGACATCTTTATTTCCTCTCCCCCGGGCCGCCGCCCTCTCCCGCAGGCCCCTCCCGAGCCCCGCGTCCCTTCTTCGGGGTGCAGCTGGCACGCCTCCCCTCCCCGCCCCTCCCGCCTCTCGCCCCGGCGGCCCGGCGCCTGGCGCCCCCAGCCCCGCCCCGCCCCCGCGGCCCCCGACTCCTCGCCCCGCGGGGCGCCCTGCCCCGGAGCCCCTCGGCGGCGGCGTCCCCGCCCCACCGCCCAGCCCGTCGGCCCCAAAGCCGGCTCCTCCCCCATCCCTGCCCCGTACCCGGTGCAGCGGCCTCTAGGGTCCGGGAGCGGGCCGAGGTCCCGGCGGCCCGGGCTTGCCCTGGTGAGCGCCGCGGTGGGACCGAGCTTCCGGGCAACTCCGGGCCGGCGGCGCCGGGTACGCGGGACTGGGGCGCGGGGGCGCGGGGGGCGGCGGCGTCCCTGGGAAAGGGCGCCGGCGGGGAACACGCGCGCCCCGCACGAAGGTTCCGCCGCCGGAGTCGGCCCCTCACCGGGGGACAGCCGCGGAGCTTCGAGGGGCCTGGAGGACCTGCCAAAGGCCGGGCCCGGCCCGGCTCCCCTGCTCCGATCCACCTCCCTGGCTGAGCAGTTCCGTCGTTCTGAAGGCCCTCAGGGATATTTCTGTCGATGGAGCAAATGGGGAGACAGAGGCCCAGGAGGCCAGTTGCCAGATGTGCGGGTGGGAACATGTGATATTTTGGGTGGGCACATGGGGAAACTAGGCCTGGGGTTCGCTAGATTTATTGGTGGGGAGGTGTGATACTTTCTTGTGGACGCGCGGGGACCTGAAGCCCAGAGTAGGCCAGTCACTGCTGTGTACAGAGGTGTGAAGTTGTGCGCTTCCCACCGAACACGCGGGAAAACCGAGGCCCAGAGACGGCCAGGCAGTGCGGGATATGCAGGGGGGAAGGGCGGGCCTCCCCACCCGGCAGGTGGGGAAGTGGCCGCCCTGCAGCAAGCCTAGCGCCCATGTGCTTACTGCCAGCCGGCTGTGATCTGGAAGGGCGTCGGCAGAGCGTGGGATGGGGCCCCGGGTGCGCCTCCCTGGCACAGAAGCACTGGGAGGCCCCGGGGTCAGCAGTGCATGCGGGGACCCTCTCGGGCTGCTGGAGCCCTGGCCCAGGCGTACGTTGAGAAATTGCAGGGTGTGCAGAGAAGTGATGAGTAGGTAGGCGCTTCACACAGAGCGCGGCCACGGAGCCACGCATCACCGACACAGGAGTGGGGGCAGAGCGGCAGTAGCAGCTGGAAGCGGCAGAGGAAAAGAAGGGAACCCTTCTCTCGTGCCCAACTCGAGGACCAGAACCTGAACCCCAGCTCTCCTCTTCTAGGGAGCTGTCCAGCACATCTCTAATGGCAGTAATGCTCTGTCTACTCTGTGAGGTCATAGCCCCTAGCCACGTCGGGCTCTTGCTCACCTCAAATGAGGTTAATGCCTCTAAGGATAAGTACAAATTTGACTTCAGTCCTCAGTTTAAATCTATATAGCCACAGTGGGTACTAGCTACCTATCCTATGGGGTCACTACATATTCCACCCTCAACCAGTTCAAACTTGAAGCCTGAGGGCCAAAATGGGATCATTATGTTTGATTTGATTACAAAGGGTATTGTGGTGGTGGTGGTGGTGGTGGTGGTGGTGATGGTGGTGGTTGTAGTTTTGGTTTGGGGCTTTTTATTCCACTATTTCAAATGCCAGATATTTCAAATTTCAAATGCCAGAAAGTACACAGATTCGAATTCCCAGGCACACATGGAAATAAACATCCCCAGATGTGGCAACAATCAGCTGGAACTGAAAAAGTCTCCTATCTTCTCCAGAAACCCTCAAGTGATCCAAACAATTTTATATTAAGCTACAATTAAAGTTCCCTTAACCTTGTGCTGTCTAGAACAGCCATCCCTGGCACTGAGCACCTGACACATCTAATCTGCAATAAAATGTGCTTAAGTGCAGAATTCCCTACAGACTCCAAAGATTTAGTGTTGGGGGGGGGTAAACTATCATGTGAATAATTTATATATATATATATTTTTTTTCTTTTTGGTACCAGGGATTTAACTCAGGGGCACTTGGCCACTGAGCCCCAACCCCAGCTCTATTTTGTATTTTATTTACAGACAGTTTCTCACTGAGTTGCTTAGCACCTCGCTTTTGCTGAGACTGTCTTTGAACTCACAATCTTCCTGTCTCAGCCTCCCAAGCCACTGGGATCACAGGCTTGTGCCATTGCGCTCAATCTAATTTTTATATTGAATATTCTGAAATACAATTTTGGATACATACTGGTTTACATGAGGTATGTATTAAAATTAATGTTGCATGCTCCTTTTCCTTTTTAGCATAACTACTAGAAAATTTAAAATTTCATATGTGGTTCATTCTACCTCTACTGTACATCATTGTCTTAGATGTCCTCCTGCTTTGGTAATTTTATGTCTAGAACAGCCATCTCTGACACTGAACACCTGACACATCTAGGGGAAAGGGAAGTAGTAGGGACATTGGAGACTGGTAAACTAAGGGCCTGCCTCGTCTAAAGGGCTCCACCCCTGCTCTGGTCACCTGACCCACCTCACCCACCTGTTCACTTGCTTGCACATTGGAGACACTTGAGTTTGTTACCCTTTCTGCTTTCTGGGTCACCATTCCCACAAACTTCAACTGTTCCCTCTGTCTAAACAGGCTTCTCAACTTCAGCAGTGACATTTTGGGCTGGATCATTCATTCTGGGCCCATCCTGTACACTACAGGATGTGGAGCACAATCCCCCGAGCTCTAGTGGTGACAACTCAGAAGTCTCTCCACATTGCCCAGTGTTCTCTAGGGGCAATACTACTCCTGGTTGAGAATGACTGGTCAACAGGAACAGCTACCCAATCTGAGTCTCCCACCCTGATC